ACTGAGTGTGAAGTGTCTTCTTCACTTCAAGTAAAAGTCAGACTTTGTGCTGACTCACTGAGGTGAAAATGTCTCCTGTGGCCAGAGGCTGTGATCTAAACTTCCTCCTCAGGTGGACATGTATTACCTTAAAAAGGATGACCATTGTCAGAGTAAACCTGCTTTGGTTCATTCTCTCCATCTTTCAGGGGAAACACTGGTGTTTGGTTGGCTGAAGAGGAGCTGTTGGTGTTTTGGCCAATAGGCTGTTTCTGGTTCTCCAGTTTGTGGAAAAGCAGACTCTACACCATGCTTAGAGATAGAATGTGTTCAGTCATCAGCATTTCTTATGATCACTGTAGTGGTGTTTTCTTTGTTGTCCCCCTCTGGGAAGTACAATGATAAATTGGTGCTTTAGAACATTTAGATCTTCAGTCTAACACTCTCCCAGCTGAGCTATTTCATCCTGTCTGTTTTATTTTTGAGTCAGATTTCAACAATGGTTTTCAAATTACACCTTGAAGGATACCTCTGACGCTGAAGGTTACTGATCATATTATAAAAGTTGAAGCTCTTTGATAGTTACATTATCTGAAAATGGAGAAATGTCCCTATGTTTTAAAGTATATTTTGTATATGAAAGTTGAATGCCTTCAAATGCATTCTCAAAATAAACATTTTCAGCTTCACCTTGTACATTTATTACTAAAAGAAAAGAACAGAATTCAAAGACCAAAACCATTCACTGATTGTTCAGTAGTATTTGTGGACTGATGATTTCACTGCCTCCTCCCTGTGTGACTGAAACAGGGACCTTCAGATCTTCAGTCTAACCTCCCCCAGCTGAGCTTTTTCAGCTACAGGACATAGGCTTTCCTTCCTCTTAAAAAGTGGCTGGCTCACATCAGCTTTTATGTGGTCAGTACCAAGCAGCTGCCTGAAGTGTCCAGCACTGACTGGATAACTGAGCTGACACATTCGTCCACCAAGTGTTGAAAGTTAGCAGGATAGGAGCTTGTTCCTGCCTGGTTAGATGTGGCATCAAGCTGCTGGCATGGTGAGATGTGGACCTCTGGGTTATGGACCCAGCACACTTCCTCTGAGCCACTGTGCCATGTACTGTAGTACAGAGTGGGATTTGAACGCACAGCTCAATCTACAGTCACCAAACAGTTGATTTGTCTAAATAAAAGTGAACATCAAACCCTTCGACCAGTTTGCCGTGACCCGGATTCGAACCGGGGTTACTGCGACCACAACGCAGAGTACTGACCACTATACGATCACAGCTGTGTGCTGACAGACATTGTGTGTTGTACATGTTTTTAGAGGCCCATGCAGGTGTTACATTCATAATGTTCTACCAAGATGGCAGCCAATAGCACAAGGAAACATAGCTCACCTTGGAAAAAGGATAAGGGTAGCCTAGTCAATTTTTGGACTCATTAGTGGAGCGCTGAGAATACCAGCTTAATTGGTTATATCAGAATGCATATTTTTGGGATATGTACATGTGTTGAGGCTGGATGGAAAGAGGGGATGTATCACAACAGAAATTCCAACTCACCTAAGCTGAGCAGCCTGCTTTAGATTTATATGAATTTAATGAATTGGCTATATTGTCGTGCATCTTTTTAGCTGTCCGTTTTTGGTTAAATTAATGTGTATGGCGAAAGGGTAGAATCAGGGCTCCACTCCTGAAAATCTGACTCAATTAGGCTGACAGCCTGGTTAATATTTTTGATTAAACATTGGCAAGCTCACAAAACTTCTTTAATTGGCCATATGGTGATATTTATTTGTATAAATCACTTTTGACTACAAATAAAATACATAAAATAATACTCAAATTACTCTGTAAATATGGTGTTAAAGCAGTGCCGACAGACTCAATTTGCTCATCATCATCATCATCATCATCATTGTAGCCCAGGCTTTATAAGCCATTTGAAGTGAGAGTCTGTTGCTTATTCAGTATGAATGAGTGTGACAGAGAGCCAGCAATTATTGGGTTAATTCCGACATACAGCCCTGACAGACGCAGGTGCATCACGGTACTGCGGCTGTGCAGAGCACAGAGAGAGAGAGTTGGAAGGAGGACACACTGTGCGGTTGTACGAGGTGTTCTCTGCTTCGGAAGAGAGAAAATTAAAAGGTAAACTGAAAGAAAAGGTGGAAAACTCTGCGCAAGCAAAGTCCAGGATCCACATTCTGTGTTGCTTACTCGGCGGTGAGTTTGAATGAACTTTGAGCGATGTAACGGCAAATAAAGGTCTGCTAGCATCAGCGCTAATCGGCCGCTAGCTGCTAACTTAATGCCACGTGCGTGGCATTGAGCTCGGTTGGCGTAGCTAATCGCTAACACGTGGGGTAACTCAGATTGCTAGGCTATTGTGTGTTGTATGGGAGAAAAAGGTAATTTGTGTATTTAATTTAATTTACACTGTTGTGAGACTTAAATGAGAATTAGCTATTTTTTGTTAATTCATTTAGATTGATTTCTAGGTCATTTTTGAGTTATTTATTTTAAATACGAACTTATGGCCTGTAATAGTTTTTTTGAATGATTGAATGAATGTGGCCTGTCCTACAGCTCAGGTTTTTTTTTGAGGATTGGACTTGGTGATCCTGATGCTGAAAGAGAGGCATCAGAGACACCAGTAATCCAGGACAAAGAGGAGACCAGCTCGGGATAGCCATCAGCTGTTTCTCAGCATCTGCTGGAGGGACAGAATCCCTGAGACAGAAAGTGGCGAGCCAGAACAAAACCGATAAAGAACTATCTGCGTATGGTAGGATCAGTGAGACTGATAAAAGGGCCCCAACGATACGGACCAAAGAACATATTTGAGCTCATATTTTTTCCTATTTTTTATTTTTCATATTGCGCGCACTTTATTATTTTTTGATCATATTGTTGTCAAATTGTTCATATTGTTCAGGTTCATTGTTAACTCATTCGCTGCCAAAGACGTCTATAGACGTCTTTTCAAATCCAACCGCTGACTGCCAAAGACGTCTATAGACGTCTTTTATGTTTTTCAATGCGAGTGGCTTGGGGGACGATCGGCGAAAGTTTTTCCGTAAATATCGGCTTCTAGACAGAGTATGGACTAACAAATTTACCCTCTAGGTAGCTGTGCCACTTTTGATGGGAGATTAGCATAGATTGTAGGTAAATAAAAACAAACGCAATGGTTCGCTATGAGAAAACATGTCGCCGGTGAGACGCACGTCGAAGAAGAACGGAATGAGGTAGAAACAAAATCTTTTTTCCTGATGAAAGAAGAGAGTCTACTCTTTCTTTTGGTGTGTTCGGTGTTTACATAGTCATAGCACAAACTATTCTGTGGCTCT